CAGAAAAAAGAGTATTAGGCTAATTTTCTTGGGTCGAAACATATATATATATATATATATATATATATATATATATATACATATTTCTTATTGGACTAATCTGATGTCGTTCCATTTATGTTGCCTTGGGCCTTTGCCCATCTCGCCCATGTATTTGGGTCGGGCCTGATCAGAAGCACCATTGTCTTCATCAACTTCATTATCTTCATAATCATAGTTGAAGTTAAAGAAAGCATCCTTGTATCTCTCTTTACCCTGTGTCTTGAAATCATCTTCCATTTCCATATTTACGTGCTCAGTATCGACCACTTCCTCATCGTCCTCGTATTCTTCAGCTAATTCATGGTGAACTTCCTCTGATTCGACAACCATGAATAAAAGCGGTCGAGTTTACCTTCGTTTCTCTCAGTAAAACCATACTTCCTTCGTGTTTCTCTCTGTAAAACCTTAGCCTTTTTCTCTCAATTGATTTACCCCAAATGATGAACGAAATGGATATAGAATGGTAAAACCCTCATTTACACGTAAGGTGCCACATACACATAGTACCGATGGGGTACCGTCGAACCCAATAACTATACCGCTTTGATTATGTTTACTAGTAATTAGGACTTAATTGCAAAAAAATATAGGGACAAAATTGATTATAAAGTCAATACATAAAGATTTTATTGCAGTTTTCCCTATATAGTTTGTAAACTATAAACATCTCGTAAAACCTTTTACTCATTTTACAAAATGTTGTGAAAACATATATTTTCAAAGTTATGTTTTCCCTGAGTTGGTTCAAACATATTTGTGGTCCTGGGTAATATATATATATATATATATATATATATATATATATATATATATATATATATATATATATATATACACACACACACACAAATCAGCGATGATAACTAGTTCTTTTGGTGAATAGTTTTCTTACTGGAAAATAATTATTAAATTTTATTATTAGTTATTATGTAATAAAAAAATACCAGTCTTAAATAAAATATTTATGTTTAGACATTATATTTATCTTTCATGTTCATACATTTGATATAAATTAATTAATATCGGTGTCTAGTTTGAAGAAATTATAAATTAATTTATATACATGAATTTAATGTTTTAAAATTATCATTGTGCACCAAACTAAATTTCTTAGTAACATTCCTTAATTAAAATCTTCTAACTCTTAATAAGTATTAATAATGTATTTTTGCATACTTGATTTGTACAAAAACCTTTGTACCTTATATTTCTTAAACTTAAAAATATGACTAATATGCTTTATAACATAGTATTATATATATATATATATATATATATATTATATATATATATATATATATATATATATATAATCCCTTTATTTTTATTTAAATTTAAAAGAAAAAGTATTATTAAGACAAAAAAATAATTGTTATTAGATAAAAATATTTATATATGGAAATTAGGGATTTAAATTTAAATGTAGCTTGGATGAAAAATAAAAGTTGTAAATATTATGTATCGAACCCATTTTTTGATAGAAGAATGGAACCAAGAAGGACAAAATGATAAATATTTCTATTTAACCAAACAACTAATTTATTTTGGATGAAAAGAAGCCCAGTCGGTCAAAGTGATAAGTATATCTATTTAACTAGACTGCTACTTTATTTTTTATCAAAATTCTATTTCTTCACAAAATACCTAAACATATATCACCTTTTTTCAAGTTACACATTGATTATTCAACATATTTGGTCACTAGACCATTGGTTTAAATAAAATGCATTGTAATTCATTTAAATTAAAATAAATTACATGTTTGGTCCCAAATTTAGTCTAGGGTTGTAGATTGTTGTAGAAGTAGTTCTTATTTCAAAATAAATTAGCAGGCTAGGTTGCTCTATCCATCTTAACTTTGTTTCCCTTAATTTAACACCCCTTAAATGCAAGGCTAGGTTGCTCGATCCATCTTAACTTTGTTTCCCTTAATTTAACATCCCTTATATGCAAGTCACATGAAGGCATTTATGTCACTCCCAAATCTTTGTTCTAAGATTCATCTTCACCTAAATCGTTGTTCCCAATACCATGAACTCATATATGTAGGTCATCATCATCTTGAAAGTCTAAATTTGGTTTCAATATGAGGACAAGAATTGATAACATTTATTCAAACTCTATATTTTATTCTTGTGGGATTTGATAAGGTGAAGTGAAAATCCATATCGATGAAATTGGTAACCTTTTATAGAACTCAAAGTTTGATAATAGCAATATCATATGAATGTATGCATAAAACTTACACCATTTTTTCTTTATTCTGATTTCCATCCGACTTCCTAATTTTCAAATTCAATTGACTGAGACTTGAAAATTGATTTTTTTCACTAACCATCACTGTTTGTTCGCATCTTCATTCTGATTTCTAAAATCATCGTTAGTTCTTGACTTGTTTATTTGAAAATCGTCCGTACTTCTTCCTAGTTCTGAAAATTGGGAATTATAAAGGGAATATCATGTTGGATGTTTATCTTTTTCCCATATGGTTGGGTGGAAGAATATTTGAAGGGTTTATAAAGTTTTCCTTACATTTAGCCTTCAAAGTTTAGTGGAGGTTAAGGAATGGGCAAAGCCCACATGCCTGCTTATTCGGTTTGTTGATGTGAGAAGTGACTCACTTGGAGCTGATGAGTTATTATTTATACCAAGGTTTTGGGTTTGATCGGGTTGGATGAAAATATGTTGATTGTACATTGACTTTGTGGAGCCATCACAATTTCATGTTTTTTGGAGTCTCCAACTATAAATACAACCTGCATGTAGTTGTATTCACCACCCAAAAAATCGAGAATTCTTCCGGTTTCCAAATATTCTCTTTGTATTATTATTTAGTGGTTCTTCACGTAGTTGTTAGAATGAATGGTAATCTCCATTATATCCTAAGTTTTACGTTGAAAGGCTACAACCACTGAGCAAAGTAAAAACTTTTAAAGACAAAAGTTTTTCCATGTAGTTTTGTATGTCAAGAATCTAATCTACGATTAAGTTATGTCACCGTTAAATATAAAAGAACAATGTCTAACATGGTTCTTTAAGACTTAGCCCAAATCCGATTAGATTGAAGCCTGTGCTTTATTTCCCCATCAAAGTTACTGAATCATGCCTCAAAAAGAATTTGGATAATCAACTTTTTGGAAAAAAAAAAAAAAAGTTATGCCTACGGGGTCACAAAAAAAAAAAAAAAAAAAAAAAAAAAAAAAAAAAAAAACTGCAAATTGTTAATTTTTTATGGTTTCGATCTAAACTTCTTTGAATTGAAACCATGTAAACGATATTTTTACAATTTTTTCAAAAGAAAAATTAAAAGAGACAAATAAGCAAATTGCAAGAAAACAAAGACGAAATTACAAAAATGGTCCCTATAGTTGGCAAATTTATGTGTTTTTGGTCCAAAGTGAAATGTTGATGCACCATTGGTCCCAATTTGGATATCTTGTGTAGTTTTAGTCCTTATGGTTATCATTTTTTGTGGTTTTGATCCATACCCTACCTAAAATGATGATTATACCCTTGACTTATTGTTTTTTTTTTTTAATTGAGTTCCTATTATTTTAATTAAAGAAACCCAAAAAACTCACCCAACCTCTCTTAAGTAACACCCCACCCCACCATCTCTCTCTCTCTCTAATGTTGTTAAAGACCCATCACTGACCTTCAACCCACTGCATCCACCATCGTCGACCATTGCTACCTCAAAAACTTCAATCAACCATCATCACCACATCATCATTCCTCAATATATTCGCATCCATAAAAATCCATATCATATCAGGTGTTTGTGGTGGGACACGATTGGGGCACAACTGTCGCTCGACATCTAGTCTTTTCCGGCTAGATAGAGTCAAGGGAATCATTTCTCTCGGTATTCCATTGTTTTCTAGATCCCCAAACACGTAGAGTGCAGTCTGATTTTTTTTTTTTTTTTTTTTTTTTTTTTTTTTTTTTTTTGCATCTTATTGGTTTCACAACATAAACAATGAAATATCAAACCCATTTCGTAATCAACGAGAAAGGGAGTGGCAGAGCGCCGCCCTTGTTTATCTATTCGAGCCACTATAATCAGTCGCTATCTCTATCACCTTTATCATAACACCACCACCTGTTGGATTTGCATCACAAAAAATATCCCACCTACCCTACCTTAATTGTCGAAGAAGAAAACCTGTTAGCCTCTTCTCCCCAAATCAAACTGAAATTCGATACTAGACCACACCACACCAAATCAAGAACAAATCCGGAACCTGTAACAAATATCAAAACCTAAGAATATTTTTAGGTCAAAAACTTAGACCCCTCTAGATCCAAAATCGAAAATAATCAGCCCCCGTCGAGAAGGCATGACAAACGCAGGTGGTTAGGGAGATTGTCGATGATGGTTTTCTAGTTCATAGGTGATGGGAGGGAAGAGAGATATCTCCAACGAGATATGGGTTTCAGGTCTGAGAAATTGAGGTGTCTGGTGGCGGATAACCGTGGAGAATATGGAGATGGTCGGCGAAGGATGGTGGTGGGGGAGAACATTGATGGTAGGAGGAGGTCACGTGGAGGTGTTATTGTTGGTATGTGTTGGTGTGTGTTTTAAAGAAGTAGCAGCAGACGAAGGGTGGAGAGAGAGCGAGCAAGAGAGAGGGCCCTTCTTTTAGAGTAAATTATCTTTTTTATATATAATAAATAATAAATGAACTAAAAGAAAAGGAAAACGAAATTTAGGAGGGGTATAATAGTCTTTTCAGGTGTAAAGGGACCAAAATCAGTAAAGATATCCAATTTTGGACCAATGGTGCACCAACATTTCATTTTGGACCAAAAGCACATAAATTTATCAACCATAGGGACCATTTTTGAAATTTTGTCGAAAACAAAAGAAAGAGAAGAGAGAGATAGACTAGAGAGCTATAGATTAGGCGAGATTGTAGAAACACGTCAGGCGTAAATCGTAATACAACACGAAGCCCTCTTGCCCCAAACTTGTAGTCGTTCGGGGTCGGGGTCCGTTTCCCAAAAGCTCAGATGCCATTCCAAGCTTTCTCATCCTCCTCCTTCTTCTATCTCTTCAACCCCCAACCCTGGCTCCACCATTCTCCCCTAGAGGGCCCCACCACCCTCACCGTCTTCTTCTTATCATCATCATCGTCATCGTCAACATCACCCTTATCGGATCTTCATTCCTTTTTCTTTAAGAGGTATATAAATCTTTTCTACGGATTTTATGTGTTCTTACCTCAATTTGCTAAATGGGTCGTGTTACTTTTTGTCTTTTGTCCCATACACGCATGCCTTTCCGTTTTCCCTTTGAAAAGTATTCAATCAATTATGCATTTATATGCGTCATTAGCTTAATCAATTACTCGACATATAGGCATTGTCTGTGATTGTTTGTGAATGTGATTATTGTTTTCTTTGATTAATCATTAATTCATATTATCTCAATTTACAATTTAGGTTTCCTTTTTGTCGCCTTTCCCCTTCCTCTTTCGCGTTAAAGCATTTTCATCAGGATTACAAATTTATTCCGTCAAGTTATTATTATTATGCATGTTGTTACTTTTGTCTTGTATCCTCTCCTTTTGAGACACTTTACGTTAGGCATCACTTTCTTTTAGGAAAAGAATCATTCATAAGAGAATAAGTGAATAACCCATTAATTGCGCTACTTAATCTTCAATTTATGTGTATATATATATATATATATATATATATATATATATATATATATATATATATATATATATATATGCTTCTGTTTCTTTTAGAAATTGACTCTTGATATTTTTTCTCTTACTAAAAGTGAAATTGGTGAGAAACCGGTTTAGGAATGATGAGGGGTTGAATTTTTAGGGTAAAGCATGGGTTTTTATGATCATTTTCTTTAGCATTTCAAAACCAACATTGCATTTTTAATATCATTCCTTTTTGTTTGAGAGAGTTTAGAAGAAAAGTGATCAACAAGAATACAAGATTTGTCTTTTGTTTGTTTCACTAATGAGATTAAGACATAGGAAATGCATATCTTCATGTTCTTCTCATCACAGAGTAGGACTCCCTCTTCATCTCTCTGTTCTTTAACTTGTTACGTTTTATCTAAACAGTTCTTCAAATCCTTTTTTTCACAAAGTGTTTGTTATAATTTCGTGAAATATGATTTGCTACAATTACTTGAATTTCAAAACATCTATCTAATATTTGATTACTGCATTATAATGCAGAAATCAGATGATTGATATGCACTATTCTAATGCGTTCGTGGGAGTTCTTCCTAAAATTTCTTTGCTTCCAAGTATGGACTCAATTTTTAAGTTTTCATGAACCAATTATACTAAAATTTTCCAGTATTCATCACTAAATCCCACTCATTCAGATTCCATTTACTAATCTATTCATGCACAAAACTTTTTGTTCAAAAACCAGGTTGATGAAGATGATTATCCTTGGAGACACCACAACAAAGACAACATTTTGGAATGGTTACATAAGTCTCTTACCAGAAAATCAGTATTAGCTCAATGTATTAGTGAGTGAAATCTGTTTAAAAACATATTGGATTTACTATATCTAGAATTTTATAAACATGTAAAATAATAAAATATCATTTTTTTAAATGTTGGATTTAGCTACTGCTATGGTTGGTCCACGACAATGGATTGGCGGAATTTTTGGCATGAAGCGTTCTGCAAGTAACAAATATGTTGATTTTAAGTACACTAATGTTCAGGTATTATATCAGACTCCATTAAAATTAGAAAGTTTTGAATATTTTGATCAATAATTTGTATTTTTTTTTGTGAAAATCTAACAAGATTCTCATGGAAAATTTTTACAGGAAGCAAGATATCAAAAGCTTAGAGAACGTACAAATGTACCTTTTGATGAAACTCGCATTGAGCATCAGGTATATTTATTTCTCTAACTCCTTTTTTTAATTTAAATTGAGATGATTTCTTTTTTGATGCAATTTTATGTTTTATTGACAGAAAGCCCTTGTAGAATTGTGGAATTTAGCATATCCAAATGTTACACTTAGAGGGTTGATCTCTGATCAATGGAAGGAAATGGGGTGGCAAGGAGCTAATCCATCCACTGACTTTAGGTACAATTTTTAAAACTTTTTTTTACATTTTATAAAAGATTAAATATATATTCATTTGATTATATTTATTATATTTTGTTTTGTCATAAGGGGTTGTGGTTTTCTTTCACTTGAGAATTTGCTGTTCTTTGCAAAAACATTTCCAGTATGTTTACTTTCTAACTAAAACTTTTAGATATTATTCATGAAATAGCAATTTAAAAAAACCAAATCCAATTTACTAACTCATAATATTTCAAAATGAAGGCTGCTTTTCGTAGGTTGCTATTGAAACAACCTGGAAAAAGGGCAGAATGGGAATATCCTTTTGCAATTGCTGGCATTAATATATCTTTCATGTTAACTCAGATGTTGGAGTTGTATTCAGGTTTGTGAGTTGAAGTTTTAATAATAATAATAAGAAGAAGAAGAATTACTTCCTTTCATTTTTTAGCTTATCTTAAATTTAACAGACTTGTATATGATTTTGTTGGAAGTGAAGAAATGAGTGTATATAATCTTACTAATGAGTTGTATTAAATTGCAGTTAAGCCTAGGTGTCTTCACTGTGTCAATTTTGTAAAAATCTTGGGAGGTAAGTATAAAGTATCATGAAGTACTACTTTTGAGTATATATATATATATATATATATATATATATATATATATATATATATATATATATATATATATATATATATATTCAATCTTGAATCCTTCTAATTTAGAAAGTATTAATAATGGATTCGATATTCATGGGAACAATTTATTGTAGAGGACGATGAAGCCTTTGATGTTCTATATTGTATTGCTTTTGCAATGATGGATGCACAATGGCTTGCGATGCATGCCTCATACATGGAGTTCAATGTAGTCTCTCTCTCTCTCTCTCACACACACACACACACTTTGAATACTGTAAACTGTTAATACTGTAAAAAGAATATGTTACAATATTAACAGTTTAATATGTTACAGTATTCACAGTTTGTTTAATACTGTGAACGGGTATACAAGAACCATGCTACAATTTAATACTGTAACATGCTTGTTGTATAAAAAGGTTGTAACCTTTTTGTAGTTCATATTGCAACTATTGATATGTAATAATTTATGTTACTTTATAAAAACATCAGGAAGTTCTACAAATTACACGAACACAATTGGAGAGAGAACTTGCACTGGAAGACATCCATAGAATACGAGATCTGCCAGCCTTCAACCTTCTGCACCATTAGTTTCTTATTTCTTGAGTTACGAATGATTAATGATTGTATAGTTAGATTCGGGATTCATCTCATTTTGATTAATGTTATCTGGTTCATTAGATTAAAGATTTTTACATGTTAGATTAATATTTTAATTACTCTTTCTCTTCTCTTGGCAACATTAATACCAAAGTACATCAAAAAAGTTTTAATTATTAAACATCATGTTGACAAAAGGTTATCAAGTACATACAAATCGGTACTTTTGATCATTTGTGTTATAAAATGTCCAACCTTTTATTTTGTTAAACTCTTGTATACACACGTACATGTGCACATTATTAATGATTTTATTTTTGTTTAATTCTGATTGATTCTTACTTACATACAATATTTTTTGAAAACATATGAACCAAAATAACTCATAAAACCATAGAACCGTATAAAAATTTCGAGTGTTTATAATTGAAAATACATCTTCATCTATGAACATATGTGTGTTCTGTTATGAATATACAAAATATTTCGAAATGAACGTGCGTTTGTCTCTTTCTCTCTCTCTCTCTCTCTCTCTCTATATATATATATATATATATATATATATATATATATATATATATATATATATATATATATATATATAAACACAACCAAACACCACAATTGTTTAAATCATTGCAACCTTTGTAGCACTTGCGATCTTTCCACTACAAGGAAAACGATCATTAACGGCAACAAAAGTCGCCGGTAATAAGTCGCCGCTACTACTTCGTCGCTATTGATGAACTTGTCGCTACTAATGATAGATGTCACCGCTAATGATAGGTCCATGTCGCCGGTAATTACAATTTTAATTTTAATTTTTTTTTGTAATTAACGATTTTGGTTGCCGGTAATAATGTATTCGGTAATTACATAACGACATTCGATTAAATATAAAAAATAATATTGTCGATGCTAATTACAAAACACATCCGATTATAATTAATTAAAAATCAAAAGTCATAATATCCAATTAAATATCAATAGCAAAATCGAGGACCGATTGGAAGAGGAGCAGCGTAGCAACGGGAAACAGGAAGAGATGGAAAGAAAACAGGAAGAAAATGAGCAGATTGTGTGCGTTTTTTTTTATCTGCGACCGCCTTTAGCGGCGGTATTTTTAGCGGCGATGATTTGGTCTTTACCTGCGACATAAAGCAACAACGGAGACTATCCGGAGGGAAGGGTATCACGTCATTTTTAGATCACTATTGGCGGCGACATTTTAAACATTTCGCGACGACTCAATTGTCACCGGTATTTGGTTTGGGCGGATAAGAGACCCCAATCATTATATTAGATACTTGATCGAACGACTAGATCTATCAGAGAGGGTAAATGCGAATTCGGGTGAGATGCCTTTAGCGGCTACACATTTACCAGTGATATAACTCTTTAGAGGCGACAAACGGTAGAGTCGCCGGTAATTGTGTCGCCGCTAAAGGCATTGTTTCCTGTAGTGCACTACAATGAAAATGATCATTAGCGGCGACAAAAGTCGCCGGTAATAATTCAAGTTGTCGCCAGTAAAAGTAATAGCGGCAACGTGTCGCCTGTAATAAATCGCCGCTACTACTTCATCGCTATTGATGAACTTGTCGCCGCTAATGATAGATGTCGCTATTGATGAACTTGTCGCCGCTAATCAATTACTCGATATATAGACATTGTTTGTGAATGTGATTATGCTTTTTTTTTTTTATTAATCATTAATTCATATTATCTAAATTTACGATTTATGTTTTTTCTTTTTGTCGCCTTTCCCTTTCCTCTTTCCCATTGAAACATTTTCATCAAGTCTACAAATTTATTCCGTGAAGTTATTATTATCATGCATGTTGTTACTTTTGTCTTGTCTCATCTCCTTTTGAGAAACTTTACGTTAGGCATCATTTGCTTTTAGGAAAAGAATCATTAAAAAGAGAATAAGTGAATAACCCTTTAATTGCGCTACTTAATCTTCAATTTATATATGCTTCTGTTTCTTTTAGAAATTGACTTTCTTTATATTTTTTTCTTACTAAAAGTGAAATTGGAGAGAAACTGCTTTTGGAATGATGAGGGGTTGAATTTTTAGGGTAAAACATGCGTTTTTATGATATTTTCTTTAACTTTTCAAAACCCACATTGCATTTTTAATATCATTCCTTTTTGAGAGTTTAGAAGAAAGTGATCAACAAGAATACAAGATTTATGTTTTATCTGTTTTACTAATGAGATTAAGACATAGGAAATGCATACCTTCGTGTTCTTCTCATCACAGAGTAGGACTCTCTCTTCATCTCTTTGTTCTTTTACTTGTTAAGTTGTATTTAAAGAGTCCTTCAAATCATTTTTTCACAAAGTGTTTGTTATAATTTCGTGAAATATGATTTGCTAAAATTACTTGAATTTCAAAAGATCTATCTAATATTTGATTACCGCATTATAATGTAGAAATCAAATGAATGATATGCATTATTCTAATGTGTTCGTGGGAGTTCTTCCTAAAATTCTTTTGCTTCCAAGTATGGACTCAATTTTCAAGTTTTCATAAACCAATCACACTAAAATTTCCAATATTCATCACTGAATCCCACCCATTCAGTTTCCATTTACTGATCTATTCATGCACATAACTTTTTGTTCAAAAACCAGGTTGATGAAGATGATTATCCTTGGAGACACCACAACAAAGACAACATTTTGGAATGGTTACATAAGTCTCTTACCAGAAAATCAGTATTAGCTCAATGTATTAGTGAGTGAAATCTGTTTAAAAACATATTGGATTTACTATATCTAGAATTTTATAAACATGTAAAATAATAAAATATCATTTTTTTAAATATTGGATTTAGCTACTGCTATGGTTGGTCCACGACAATGGATTGGCGGAATTTTTGGCATGAAGCATTCTGCAAGTAACAAATATGTTGATTTTAAGTACACTAATGTTCAGGTATTATATCAGACTCCATTAAAATTATAAAGTTTTGAATATTTTGATCAATAATTTGTATTTTTTTTTTGTGAAAATCTAACAAGATTCTCATGGAAAATTTTTACAGGAAGCAAGATATCAAAAGCTTAGAGAACGTACAAATGTACCTTTTGATGAAACTCGCATTGAGCATCAGGTATATTTATTTCTTTAACTCCTTTTTTAAATTTACATTGAGATGATTTCTTGTTTGATGCAATTTTATGTTTTATTGACAGAAAGCCCTTGTAGAATTGTGGAATTTAGCATATCCGAATGTTACACTTACAGGGTTGATCTCTGATCAATGGAAGGAAATGGGGTGGCAAGGAGCTAATCCATCCACTGACTTTAGGTACATTTTTTAATTTTTTTTAAATTTTATAAAAGATTAAATATATATTCATTTGATTATATGGATTATATTTTGTTTTGTCATAAGGGGTTGTGGTTTTCTTTCACTTGAGAATTTGCTGTTCTTTGCAAAAACATTTCCAGTATGTTTACTTTCTAATTAAAACTTTTAGATATTATTCATGAAATAGCAATTTGAAAAACCAAATCCAATTTACTTATTCATAATATTTCAAAATGAAGGCTGCTTTTCGTAGGTTGCTATTGAAACAACCTGGAAAAAGAGCAGAATGGGAATATCCTTTTGCAATTGCTGGCATTAATATATCTTTCATGTTAACTCAGATGTTGGAGTTGTATTCAGGTTTGTGAGTTGAAGTTTTAATAATAATAATAATAAGAAGAATTATTATTTCGTTTCTTTTTGTAGCTTATCTTAAATTTAACAGACTTATATATGATTTTGTTGGAAGTGAAGAAATGAGTGTATATAATCTTACTAATGAATTCTGTTAATTTGCAGTTAAGCCTAGGTGTCTTCACTGTGTCAATTTTGTAAAAATATTAGGAGGTAAGTATAAAGTATCATGAAGTACTACTTTTGAGTGTATATATATATATATATATATATATATATATATATATATATATATATATATATATATATATATAATCTTGAATCCTTCTACTTTTAGAAACTATTAATAATGGATTCGATATTCATGGGAACAATTTATTGTAGAGGACGATGAAGCCTTTGATGTTCTATATTGTATTGCTTTTGTAATGATGGATGTACAATGGCTTACAATGCATGCCTCATACATGGAGTTCAATGTACTCTCTTTCTCTCTCTCTCTCACACACACACACACACTTTGAATACGGTAACATAGTTTCTATATTAAACTGTTAATACTGTAAAAAGAATATGTTACAGTATTAACAGTATAATATGTTATAGTGTTCAAATTATGTTTAATACTGTGAACGGGTATTCAAGAACCATGTTACAATTTAATACTGTAACATGGTTGTTGTATAAAAAGGTTGTAACCTTTTTGTAGTTTGTATTGGAACTATTGATATGTAATAATTTATGTTAATTTATAAAAACTTTAGGAAGTTCTACAAATTACACGAACACAATTGGAGAGAGAACTTGCACTGGAAGACATCCATAGAATACGAGATCTGCCAGCCTTCAACCTTCTGCACCATTAATTTCTTATTTCTTGAGTTGCGAATGATTAATGATTGTATAGTTAGATTCGGGATTCATCTCCTTTCGATTAATGTTATCTGGTTCATTAGATTAAAGATTTTTACATGTTATATTAATGTTTTAATTACTCTTTCTCTTCTCTTGGCAACGTTAATACCAAAGTACACCAAAAAAGTTTTCATTTTTAAACATCATGTTGACAAAAGGTTATCAAGTATATACAAATCGGTACTTTTGATCATTTGTGTTATAGATTGTCTAACCTTTTATTTTGTTAAACTCTTGTATATACACATACATGTGCACATTATTAATCATTTTATTTTTGTGTAATTCTGGTTGGTTCTTATATACATACAATATTTGTTGAAAACATATGAACCAAAATAACTCATAGAAACATAAAATCGTATAAAAATTACGAGTGTTCATAACTGAAAATACATGTTCATTTATGAACATATGTGTGTCTCTCTCTCTCTCTCTCTCTCTCTCTCTCTCTCTCTATATATATATATATATATATATATATATATATATTATATATATATATATATATATATATATATATATATATATATATATATATATATATATATATATATATATATATATATATATATATATACACCAAGCTAAACATAGCATCAAGGAAAATCATCCGAAGGAGAAAGCACCAAGACAACACATGCAATAACAAGTCACTATGAGGGCAACGCCACGAGAGCAACGAAATTTATATGGCATTTGTATATCATGAGGCTCTAAAAATATTTTATCTCCGAAACATTACCAACTCAATCAACTGGATAAGAGATAAAATTATTTTATATGTGAGATTAACGTTATCTGGTTATTACTCGTTCTTTTTAAGTGTAAAGAAAAAAATCTTTAATCGACACATTTAATACTATATATAAGTACACACACTACCAAAGAACTCTGTGACTGTAATTATCATTAAGAAAATTGTGAAAACAAGAACAGAAACCAAAACAAAATCCTCTACGTTAGATTAAAACAACATGATACATGGGTTTAAGGAACAGGATAAGATTTGTTTTTACACATGCACTTATAAGCCATGGGACATGTTTCTGCCTCTGCGATGGATGCACATACGAAGCTAACCATAACCAGTCTGCATGGGGAACACGATCCGCAGGCATGGGAACAGTCTGGTAGCCTTGATCCAACCACTTGAACTGTATCTGATCCCGCTCCGGCTCCTCTTTGCTTCTCTGTGGCTCCACGAGTTTGATGGTGATGTCCATGACCTGTTAATTCACGTGAGATCGATTAAACAAAAGTACAACACAGTAATGCACATGGAAATGACACGTTGTACAAATACAACCCAATAATGCACATGGAAACATTCAGATGTGCATCGTAAGATTGTACCATATATACATCCTTGTCGTGCATTATAAACGTACGTGAATGTTGCAAACCGATATGCCTTGCGGAGATGTCAAGAGGAAGAAGCAGAAGCAAGGAGAGAAACACAGCATTGCACAACGAAACCTTCATGGTTATAATTAGATATGTGGGAGTTCGTTGTAGTCTTTGTGAGATCGATGAAGAAAAGAAAGGTGGAGTCGAGGGGATTAGGGGTGGGGGTGGGGGTGGGGGTGGGTGATGAGATTTATATGGAATGGAAAGAAAGGTGGTATTGAAGCAAGTCACAGGCAATGGGGATCGAGGGGAAAAGGGTCACATGAAAGAGGGTGAATCACAGGGTAAGACCACGCTGCAATCAAATGGTTTATGATTTGCTTCACACTTTTATTTGAGCTTCAAATTTACTAAGGTAAATTGGTTCTTGTGACACGAACGAAGGACATTAAATGCAAGTTGGATCCAATGTGACTGTGTTGTGTTGATTTAAAGACTTGGTTAAATACCAATCGATTTACATGTAAAGAGTTAGGATAGGACCACAAAAATGATTGGCCAAGTGAACCATGACAATTCAACCAAAAAGGGAACTTAATAATGTCACATTTTTGTAGCAAGGTACAAGATTTAATTAAGGCGGCTAGTAAACGTGATACCGGCAAACTCCAAAAAATAACGTTGTAATGAAATGAACCACAAAAAAGAAAGTCGTTTTGCATGAAAAACTTTAAATGCAACTTAACCAATATTATTGATTGAAAGCATAGTTTTTGAAAGCAACAACCATATATGTCTCCTTCAAGGAGATCTGATAAACTTTATTAATATCATTGGTAAATTTTGTATACCCCTCGCTATATAAACTTGGTGAGGGTGTATACAGTAGGTTAACCGAACATCTTGATTGGGCTTTTTATGGACCGGAATTTAAAGATCATCTTTTTTGCCTTAATTAACACATGTCCTTTTTCAAGAGGAAAACACACTTTAATTGCATAATTATTTTTTTGAAAATAGACAAAAAGTTATATCTATATAAAAATCATTTAGTTACCAAAATTGCAGCTGGCACTCACTGGGCTACGCTTTTGTCTTAATGGGCACCGAACCCATAAGCCCACAACATTTAAAGTTTGATTTTTTTTTTTTAACACTTTCAGTTGAGAGTATACTAAAAAAATTCTCTACGGACGAAAACAGTGACATATGTCCCCTCATCAAGTAAACTTCTACAAGTGTTTAATACAATCTCCTCATCCATGAATTCCAAAGCCATATGAGATTGTCTTACATTTTTTCCGGCATTCAGAAACGACTTTGGGAAGTGGTCACTCAGCTACAAGGTGCACATCGTCCATGAAGACTGCATTCGAATATTCTTTGAATGAACCCAAAATGGGAAGGGATCTATTATTTTGACATGGTTTGCTGCTCCATAAGTCCCCCCCCCCCCAAAAAAAAAAAAAGAAGAAAAGAACGACTTTCTAAATACAAGTTGTCATATCAATGGAGGAGTTTTATAAACAAATCAGATAATTTGTTAATCATAGATGATTTAAATAATTAAATGAACTAATGTCATAAAAGCACTTAAGTTTTCAAAAAATATTTAGTTTTATCCTTTGGGTTCAATAAAGCCAGAAGTTTGTGTAAAAATTTTCATTGTTACCATTTTAGCTGGTTACTCGGTTATCAATACATGACTTGAAAACATAAGGGTAAAAATGAATATTTTTTGAAAAATTAACGACTTTTATGACATTATGCAACACCCGATCTTGGAGGTATTATTTTTATTTATTTAAAAGCTTAATTTAATTGAATTCTACCCTACGATTGGCGTAGGATAATCCCTCTACGTTGGGTGTAGGAGGAAGCTTGGATCAGGGCCGGTCCTAGATAATTTGGGGCCTGGGGCAAAAAATTAGGGCCCTCATTTTTTTTTCTTTTTTTTTTTTTTGTAAAAGTGGGTGGCACCTCCCGAAATTTTATTAATTAAAAAAAATAATACAATTGAAGGCTGAAGACTTCCCACCTATGGAAAGAAAAGACTTCGGGACAGATCCCGTAAGCCAAACAACCTAACAACTATTAATACAAAAAAAAAAAAAAAGTCTAAAAAATGCTTTGAAAACTAATACATAATCATATCAAACAAAAGCAAAAGAAATTTATATTTATGAGCTTTTTTAGATGCAAAGTCATCAATTATAGAATAAGTTTAATATTATCCGACAAATCTTTTTCAGTGCATAACATAGCCAAACAATTTAATCTTTCTTGTAACATTGATGATCTCAAATAATTTTTTAATAATTTTAGTTATGAAAAATTTCTTTTTGCTGATGCTACAGTAACAAGTATTGTTAATAAGATTATATATGCAATACAAACATTTGGATAACAATCTTTACTTTTGACAAACTCTAAAATTTCAACCGATGACATAACAACATTTGACAAAGTCTTTTGTAATACTTTAAGTTCCGTCAAAAATTCATTTAAATCCACATCACATAAGTTATTATAAGTAAACTTATTTACAAAAATAGCAAAACTTTTTTTAAGTTCAAAATCATCCAATGACTTTAACCTTTTTGAATTATATAAAAATCCAAAAATATTTTCAAAGTTTGTTAGTTGCTCAAATTTACTTTGTAATAACATAATTGTCTCATCAACAATATATATATATATATATATATATATATATATATATATATATATATATATATAATAATATTCGATTCTAAATGAGTCTTCGGGTGATAGTAATTCATCTTCACAATTAATTTCATTAGATTGTTTTTTCTAATAATTAGGTGCTTTTTTGGAATATAGGTTCAACATTCATATATGATGCAATGACTTTAGCATTATCAATACTAAGGGCGTAACCTTTATTTCTATAATTTTTAAAAAATGTCATCATATTTTTTAATAGATCAATTGTGACATCAATACACATAGTTTTGGTTTGCATTAATTTACTAACTTTATTTATAGCAAATAAAATATGATACCAAATTATCATACCAAGTAAAAATACATAACTTTCAATCACATTAACTAAACTTTCAGCTTCACTTTTAGACTTCGAATCGTCATATGATAAACATAATTCTATCAAGGCATCCCTTATATGAGGAGCTTGAAACCTAATAGTTTTATATGAGGAGCTTGAAACCTAATAGTTTTGATACTTTTTATTCGACTCTCCCAACGTGTATTAGATAAAGATTTTACCGTTAAATTAAGGACTTTATCAAGTAATATTGATCATCTTTTGATTGAACTTGAAAATAATACAAAATGCATTGCAAAACCCCAAAAAAAGAAATGGCTTTAGCACAAGAATGAGCCATGTCACTAACCGTGAAGTTAAGACTATAACAAGCACATGGCATAAACAATGCTTTTGAATTAATTTCAAGTAATCGTTTTTGAACACATTGATGTTTTCCTTTCATGTTAGAATTTTTAAAAGTAGAAAATATATCGGGTTTAGGACTTTTTAATAAGTTTTTAAATGCAATTAAATCTTATGGTCTTAACATTAATGATGTAAGAGGACAAGGTTATGACTCATTAAATATTAAGTCCATAAGATTTAATTGCATTTAATAACTCATTAAAAAGTCCTAAGCCCGATGTATTTTCTACCTTTAAAAATTCTAAAAAAATTCTTCAACTTTTATTTTATTATCAGACATGTTCACACATCGAATACAAGAGTCATTTTTTCTTGATGGCTAACATCG